TTTTATTGATTTGAGTCCTCTCCCTCTTTTTTAAAAAAAATTTATTTTATTTATTTATTTTTGGCTGCTTTGGGTCTTCGTTGCTGCGTTGGGCTTTCTCTAGCTGCAGCGAGCAGGGGCTACTCTTCATGGCGGTGCATGAGCGTCTCATTGCAGTGGCTTCTCTTGTTGCGGAGCATGGGCTCTAGGCGCCTGGGCCTCAGTAATTGTGGCACATGGGCCCAGCTGCTCCGCAGCATGTGGGATCTTCCCAGACCAGGGCTCGAACCCATGTCCCATGCATTGGCAGGTGGATTCTTAACCACTGCACCACCAGGGAATCCCTCCCTCTTTTCCTTGATGAGTCTGGCTAATGGTTTATCACTTTTGTTGATCTTCTCAAAGAACCAGGTTTTAGTTTTATTGATCTTTGCTATTGTTTTCTTTGTTTCTATTTCATTGATTTCTGCTGTGATCTTTATGATTTCTTTCCTTCTACTAACTTTGGATTTTGTTTGTTCTTCTTTCTCTAATTCCTTTAGGTGTAAGGTTAGATTGTTTGAGATTTTTCTTGTTTCTTGAGGTAGGCTTGTATAGCTATAAACTTCCCTCTTAGAATTGCTTTTGCTGCATCCCATAGGTTTTGGGTCATCGTGTTTTCATTGTCATTTGTCTCTAGGTATTTTTTTGATTTTCTCTTTGATTTCTTTAGTGATCTCTTGGTTATTTAATAACGTTTAGCCTCCATGTGTTTGTGTTTTTTACATTTTTTTCTCTGTAATTGATTTCTAATCTCATAGTGTTGTGGTCAGAAAAGATGCTTGATATGATTTCAATTTTCTTAAATTTACTGAGGCTTTATTTGTGGACCTAAGATGTGATCTATCCTGGAGAATGTTCTGTGCGCACTTGAGAAGAAAGTGTAATCTACTGTTTTTGGATGGAATGTTCTATAAATATCAATTAAATCTATCTGGTCTATTGTGCCATTTAAAGCTTGTGTTTCCTTACTAATTTTCTGTTTGGATGATCTGTCCATTGGTGTAAGTGAGGTGTTAAAGTCCCCCACTATTACTGTGTTACTGTCAATTTCCTCTTCTAGAGCTGTTAGCAGTTGCCTTATGTATTGAGGTGCTCCTATGTTGGGTGAATATATAATTGTTACGTCTTCTTCTTGGATTGATCCCTTGATCATTATGTAGTGTCCTTCGTTGTCTTTCGTAACATTCTTTAAAGTCTATTTTATCTGATATGAGTATTGCTACTCCAGCTTTCTTTTGATTTCCATTTGCATGGAATATCTTTTTCCATCCCCTCATTTTCAGTCTGTATGTGTCCCTAGGTCTGAAGTGGGTCTCTTGTAGACAGCCTATATATGGGCCATGTTTTTGTATCCATTCAGCAAGCCTGTGTCTTTTGGTTGGAGCATTTAATCCATTCACGTTTATGGTAATTATCGATATGTATTTCCTATTACCATTTTCTTAATTGTTTTGGGTTATTGTAGGTCCTTTGCTTCTCTTGTGTTTCCCACTTAAGTTCCTTTAGCATCTGTTGTACAGCTGGTTTGGTGGTGCTAAGTTCTCTTAGCTTTTACTTGTCTCTGAAGCTTTTGATTTCTCCATCAAATGTGAGTGAGATCCTTGCTGGGTAATCTTGGTTGTAGGTTCTGCCCTTTCATTAAATATGTCATGCCACTCCCTTCTGGCTTGTAGAGTTTCTGCTGAGAAATCAGCTGTTAACTTTATGGGAGTTCCCTTGTATGTTTTTTGTCGTTTTTCCCTTGCTGCTTTCAATAATTTTTCTTTGTCTTTAATTTTTGCCAATTTGAATGGGACTCTGTGCTTCCTGGGCTTGGGTGGCTATTTCCTTTCCCATGTTAGGGAAGTTTTTGACTATAATCTCTTCAAATATTTTCTCAGGTCCTTTCTCTCTCTCTTCTCCTTCTGGGATCCCTATAATGCGAATGTTGTTGAGTTGAATGTTGTGCCAGAGGTCTCTTAGGCTGTCTTCATTTCTTTTCATTCTTTTTTCTTTATTCTGTTCTGCAGCAGTGAATTCCACCATTCTGTCTTCCAGGTCACTTACCCATTCTTCTGCCGCGGGTATTCTGCTATTGATTCCTTCTAGTGTATTTTTCATTTCAGTTATTGTATTGTTCATCTCTGTTAGTTTGTTCTTTAATTTTTCTAGATCTTTGTTAAACATTTCTTGCATCTTCTCCATCTTTGCCTCCATTCTTTTTCGGAGGTCCTGGATCGTCTTCACTATCATTATTCTGAATTCTTTTCCTGGAAGATAGCCTATCTCCATTTCATTTAGTTGTTTTTCTGGGGCTTTATCTTGTTCTTTCATCTGGTACATAGCTCTCTGCCTTTTCATCTTGTCTTTCTGTGAATATGGTTTTTGTTCCACAGGCTGCAGGATTGTAGTTCTTCTTGCTTCTAGGGCTTATTCCTCTTAAATGAGAAAGTTTTATTTTTGGATCAATGAAGCATTTACTTGTGATTTCTAGAAGTGTCCCAGTTTTTTCTTTCACGTTTCAATCTATAATGAATTGGCTATTGCCCATGGAATACAGGGGAATACAATGTTTTTCCCAGTTAGATAACATTTTGTTAGAGATATATTTTGGGAGAGGTAACATCTTAGTGATGTTTGGGTTATTTCTAAAAACATCTTTTGTATTTTCATTTATCTCATTCTCCTTTAATGTTACCCAACAAAAATTTTAAATTTTTCCCATGAGGATCATTAAATATCTCATTCATTCTTCTTTAGTACCGAATTAAATTTGTTCTGGAGGGAGCCAGATGCAAACTTCCAGATAGTCTTTCCTAGTGTAATCACATAGGAAGGGCTCAAGCCTACAAGCAGCGGGTTGTGACAACACATATAAAATAATTGTCTTCCAGAGAAGCTCATTAGAGCCTCAATACCCAGAGTGATTTTGGGGAGCAGATCACATAGGAACTCTGCCTAAGCATAATGAAAGTTCAGACGCTCATAATGAAAAGCGTTTATAATGTACCATAAACAGTTTAGACACACTGAGCCACTCTTATCAGGTTGGTGGGGTCACTCATAAATCCCAGTTCCCAGAGACCAACAAAGGACAAACATGGTGAGCAGGCATTCCTAAGAATCAGCGATCTCAGACTTGTTAGTAACTCTCTTCTGCACACTTCACAGTAGGACGTTGTTAGGAGCAAGCGCTACAGATACACCATAGAAAGTGTAATTAGAGCTGATGCAAGCAGCTCAAGCAGGAAGTGGTTACTTCCTCACAAATTTAACAGCATCATGAACATGTGGAAATTATACATTTTTACTATGATTACTTAAAGTCTTACTGTTCTCTAATGGTAGGGTCCAGAGCACATTGGAAAAATTAGAGAAATGCTACACAAATAAATATTTCCATTTTAAGACCATCGATTCCTGTGAGAAAAACTTCTCAAGAACTGGGGATTTCTTTTTCTGTTCCTTAACTGAATAGATAAATTCTACCATTGTAATTACTGTGTGGGAACCTTTTCTCTGTCCCCTGCACGTGGACATCAGTAGGTTAGTGATCTTTTACAGAGACCAGCATTTAGGGAAGTTATGTGGTTCCTATGCCCAGACGTTGCGCTGTCATGTCCCTGTGCACCACATGGAGGCATGGAAATGAGAGAAGTGGAAAGGCAGCCTCTCAAGTGGCTGGTTGAGAATCACTGCCTCCTATAATTGGAGAAGATAAGTTTTATGTTTTTTAGAGGAAAGCACTGCTGGACCCTTTGTGTTTTATAATGATGGGCACGTTCACCATCAAACCATTGTGGTCTTCAGTGGACTCTGGTGCAAACTGCAATTCTTATTCAGTTTCCCAAGGTCAGCAAGGTCCAGGGTACACTGTTACGGTTTTGCCGGAAAATGCTCTTCTGGCATTTATCTTCTCAGTATATGCACATATATGTGGTAAAGATGGTGAGAAGCCACTCAGAATATAGGGATTTTGTGGAGGTCTAAGTTGTCATGCCTTCTTTCTCATGCCGGAGTACTAACTTCAGAATAGCTTCCTAGCCTCATGAAATAGGACAGAGATAAAAAGGAGTAACTGAGTATCTGTCAAATATTTTTACAGGCAAGTTAAACTTAATACTTTTCCACAAGATTATTTTTATTCAGCCAGTTGCATCTGACTACTTCTGATAGCCTGGAGTACTTTAGGACAATATGGCCAGCTGGGCCTAGTGATAAGCTGGATTTCCACAGGTCTCCTGTCCTTGTCACGTTTGGTGATGGGAATGGAAGAAAAAGCTTCCAGTTCACTGTGTTTTTTTCCATTAAAACCTCATGCAAGGGGCTTCCCTGGTGGCACAGTCGTTAAGAATCCACCTGCCAATGCAGGGGACATGCGTTCAAGCCCCGGTCCAGGACGATCCCACATGCCACGGAGCAGCTAAACCCATGCGCCACAACTACTCAAGCCCGCATACCTAGAGCCTCGTGCTCTGCAACAGGAGAAACCACCGCAACGAGAAGCCCACACACCACAACAAAGAGTAGCCCCCACTTGCCGCAACTAGAGAAAGCCCGCACGCAGCAACGAAGACCTGACACAGCCCAAAATTAAGTTATAAAAAAAAAAAACACCTCATGCAAATGTGACCCTGTGTTTCATGGAGTGCTATGTGATAGATATGGTGGGTATTAAAGGAGGTGGATTTTTCTTACGAGGAGTTGATGATCTGGAAATACTTCTTTCATTTGGAGTTCACATTTCTCCAGCGTGCTCTGGATCCTACTGTTAGAGAATGATAAGACTTAAGTGATCATAGTAAAAATGATTTCCATGTGTACATGATGCTGTTGAATGTGAGGAAGTAGTCATATAGAGAATAAGGATTTTGATGATCAAGTCACAGAATAAATATTTCAATAACAGCATCATATGTGAACTTCTTGTGAATGGACTACAGATTCCCATTACTGTCCATCTCACCCATCTTCCTGTACACATATTTGTGATGTTTTAGGACCCAGTGGCCTTTGAGGATGTGGCTGTGAACTTTACCTTGGAGGAGTGGGCTCTGCTGGGGCCTTCACAGAAGAAACTCTACAGAGATGTGATGCGGGAAACCTTGAGGAACCTGGCCTCAATAGGTAAGGATGATGACATTCCTTCACTTAATCAATTAGAGAACAAGTGTTTCCTGCCCATCAGTGTTGTTCTAAGATGTGGAATGGGGAAAGGGAATACTTTGGTAAGTAAATCATAGTTTGAGGTCATCATAGACCTGTGAAATAATAATTTTCCTATAATTTATTGATCTTTTTGGTTGGCATTTCAGGGGAAAAATGGGAAGACCATAACACTGAAGATCAGTACAAAAACCAGGGAAGAAATCTGAGGTGAGTTGCACTCACAGTTTAAAGCAGTGTCCCACAAGAGAATCTTCTTATGTCATGAAATTTAGAAACAAGTAGACACAAAAGGGCCCAGCTTCAAATTTATTTATTCTCAGAAAATTTTTACCAAAAAAATGTTTTCTTAACTGTGTCATGGATGTTCATTGTTTCCCAAATAGCTTACTTTAAAACATATTCAGAGACTGCATATATGAATATCACTATGATAATAGCAATGGTTGAGCTTTCTTGTAGAGCATTCAGTATATTCACTTTCAAACTTACATGGTGCAGAAAAACCTAATACTTTCCCGATAAATGATAAAAATGTAATACTAATATTTACTGTAAAATCATTAACAAGGAAATCATTAACAGTGTGCTACTAATTTTTTTTTAACAGAAGCCATACATTACGGAGATGCTGTGAAAGTGAAGAAGGTAGTCAGTGTGGCGAAAATATCAGCCTTATTCCAAATCTTAATCTGAACAAGAATTCTACTGCAGTAAAACCATGGGAGTGCAGTGTGTGTGGAAAAGTCCTCATGAGTCGTTCATCCTTTAATAGGCACGTTAGATCTCACACTGCACCCAAACCATCCAGGTATCAGGAATGTGGAAAGAAGCCTTATAAATGTAAGGTATGTGGAAAAGCCTTCAGTTATCTCCAGCCTTTTCAGAAACATGAAAGTAATCATAGTATAGAGAAATCCTATAAATGTAAGGAATGTGGGAAATCATTTAGATATCGCCAATCTGTTCGAAAACATGAACGGACTCACACTGGAGAAAAACCCTATCAATGTAAACAATGTGGGAAAGCCTTTCGATATCATCAAACCTTTCAAACACATGAAAGAACTCACACAGGGGAGAAACCGTATGAATGTAAGCAATGTGGTAAAGCCCTCAGTTGTCCAAGTTCCTTTCGAAGTCATGAAAGGACTCATACTGGAGAAAAACCCTATGAATGTAAGAAGTGTAGTAAAGCCTTCAGTTGTCCCAGTTCTCTTCGAAAACATGAGAGAACTCATACAGGAGAGAAACCTTATGACTGTAAGGAATGTGGGAAAGCCTTCATTTCTCTTGGAAGCTTTCAAAGACACATGATAACACATACTGGAGTTGGACCTTATAAATGTAAAGAATGTGGAAAAGCATTCAATTGTCCCAGTTCATATAGAATACATGAAAGATCTCACACTGGAGAAAAACCCTATGAATGTAAACAGTGTGGTAGAGCCTTCAGTTGTTCCAGTTCCTTTCGAACACATGAAAGAACTCACACTGGAGAGAAACCTTATCAATGTAAGGAATGTGGAAAAGCCTTCCATTGGCTCACCACTTTTCAAGTCCATGTGAGAACTCACACTGGTGAAAAACCCTATATATGTAAGCAGTGTGGTAAAGCCCTCAGTTGTCCCACTTCATTTCGAAGACATGAACGGACTCACACTGCAGAGAAACCCTACGAATGTAAGCAATGTGGGAAAACCTTCAGTTCTCCTTTAGGTTTGCAAATACATGAAAGAACTCACACTGGAGAGAAACCCTATAAATGTGAGAAATGTGGGAAAGCATTTGTTTCTCTCACAAGCTTTCGAAGACACATGATGACGCACACTGGAGATGGACCTTATAAATGTAAGGAATGTGGGAAAGCATTTAATTGTCCTAGTTCATTTCGAATACATGAAAGAACTCACACAGGAGAGAAACCCTATGAATGTAAAATATGTGGTAAAGCCTTCAGTTGTTCCAGTTATGTTCAAGTACATGAAAGAACTCATACTGGAGAGAAGCCCTATGAATGCAAGGAATGTGGGAAAGCCTTCATTTACCGCACAACCTTTCGAGGTCACATGAGAATGCACACTGGTGAGAAACCGTATAAGTGTAAAGACTGTGGGAAAGCCTTTAGTCGACCCAGTTCATACAGAAGCCATGAAAGAATTCACACTGGAGAGAAACTTCTTGAATGTAAGCATTGTGGGAAAGCCTTTAATTGGCCCACATCCTTACATAAACATGTCATGAGAATGCACACTGGATATAAGTGATAAATACAAGAGTTTCCTATCTTAACAAATACTGGGCTGGCCAAAAAGTTCATTCGGGATTTTCCGTAACATCTTACAGAAGAATGAACTTTCTGGCCAACCCAATACATTCAGTCATATGAAAACTCTACTGGAGAGAAATGCTATAACATGTAAATAATATGGGAAAGCCTGATGTAGATTAATTCATATATAATGCTCCAAAAAATTCATAACATGAAACGTTTTAAAAATTAAAAATATATCTTTATCAGTGGCTTATTCTGAAACTCAGTCTCTAATTATGGATTCTACTTGTTAATTTTGCAAATGAACACAACACTGAGTTGAAACAATTCTGTAAGTACTCTTTAAGCAATAGTATATAAGCTTAGTAGGTAGTATTTTTCCTTAAATTAGCTTATAGAATTTTTGTCTTTCCATTTTGAAATCTGTTGGATCCATGAGTGAACTGGAATATAATTGTAATGTGCCAATATTATATAATGTGCCAAAAATATATAATTTTTGTTGTTCTATAAGTAAAGGGGGCATGGACTAATGACACTCTGGTAGTTGTTGGGATTTTCCTATTGGCTTCATGTGGCAGGTACTGGATATTTCTTACCCATTGTAAATATGCCTCTTTTATTAGAAAAACTTTTCTCTTGTCAGAAGAGCCTTCTTCCATTTTTTCCTTGCTAATAAATAGTTGGCATAAATTTGTAATTATGTGAAGTTTAACACAGAGTATAATCTCATTTGACTTAGTATTTACATCTTTTCTCTTTGTCATTTTCTCTTTACTCTTTGTCATTCCATCTGACTGTGATTTGGGGAAGAGACTTTAAGACACCCATGTTGACATCAACTGCATGCTTAAACAAAGCAACCTTACATTGTTTACAAGTGCAATTATTTTAAATTCGTAGCTACAATATCTTTGCACTGAAGCAACATTTTTCCCCCACCAATGCATTAAAAATTCTCCTACATTATTCTTATATCACCAGTTAGTGTCTCTTTACCCATAATTCAATTAGAATAATTATATCACTGAAGTCAACTAGTGGTATTACCATCCCTTCATTCATATTGAGCACCTACTATGTGCCTGTGCTGTAAATACAACAGTGATCATAACTGATGTGGTTACTGCTCTCACATTGCAAGTCTCTGAGATTAAATATAAACATCACATTTCTAGCTACTTTTTAAAGTGTTATTAACATTTAAGTTCTGATTCATTTTTGTAATAACCCTGTATGTTAATGGACCAGTAAGTCTTTATATTTGCAAAAAGAAAAGAGACCTACCTGTTACAGGACACTAAAATGTAGAATTGGAGATGCTCTCCTGGAATGTGTTGTTAACATGGGTAATATGTTGTGACCTACATTTTCTAGAACCTGTTCTTTTCATGGTTCCATGTTAGAATTCACCACTAGCCTCCCTTGCATGACACTTGGAAGGCAAAGTGAAGAAGGCCTTAGTTCTTGAGCCACACAGGAGTTTCACATATACCTGGTTCTAAACCATTTTCCTGATTCTTTGCCCTGCCAGTCCAAAGTAGGCTCATTACCACCAGCTGCATGACTTCCATTTTCTCAGACCTGTTGGTTTCCACAGATACCTCCACAAGTTCCACAGCAAAGATCCCTCACAGTTTGGATTTTCCTGCAAGTCCTCATGTGTCCACCAGGCAACAAATTTAGACTGCTGTGATTGAGAACGTTTTGTGAAGCACTGACTCACCTCTTCTCTATATTGTATTTGTATAAGGTCTAATTTGTGTAGTAAACACATTGTTCTGTTGATATTGCTAGTGACTGTGTGTTCTTGATTCCACTATAGCAGCTACAGTGGTGCAGTCAGAAGAAAGCACGTGGTCCTGTAGTGAGTTCCTCTACTGCACTGTGCAGTGACTTCTGTGGCCCAATCCTTCCATGTGAGAATTAGCACCTTCCTCTTATCGGATAGATTATGGATATTTCCAATCACTCACAATTGAACATAATTTCTCAGTACATTTTCAGTTATGACTGATTGTATGTGATTGAAAACAATGGTTTTTTTTGTCAAATGCTTCTCTTTCAAAAAATCTTGTATACTAACAAATATTATCTTTTCTATTTCCTAATAGGATATATTGAAACATCCCATTGCAATTGTAGATTTTTAGATCAAGTTTGTGGTTTTTTTCAAGGTAATCATTATACATTTTGATTCAGTATTACCATGTATATTCTTCCTCAGGCAAATTTTTTTTCATAGTTAGAATTTTTGTCATGAAACGGATTTCTCATTTGTTCTTAATTAAAAACTTAAATCATGGTTTTGTTACTGCCTTCTTGCCAAAAACTGCCAGGTTCACACTTGTATTCAAATAGAGGGGCGTGGGGGAGGGATAAATTGGGTGACTGGGGTTGACATATACACACTACTGTATATAAAATAGATAACTAATGAGAACCTACTGTATAGCACAGGGAACTCTACTCAATACTCTGTAATGGCCTATATGGGAAAAGAATCTAAAGAGTAAATGTATGTATAACTAACTCACTTTGTTGTACACCTAAAACTAACACAACATTGTACATAACTATACTCCAATAAAAAATTTTTTTGAAAAATGGATCAGAAAAAGCAATGTAAAAACAACAACAACAAATAGAGGGGCATAACGAATCATCATAATAAGGATGAACACAAACCATAAATGATAATGGGTCATATCAGTAAGAGACTGTCCAAAAGGTCTTACAGGATTTGGACTTGTGTTAGGTATTACCTCCTTTTCCAATCAACTGAGGCTTTATGAGTTTAGGTAAATTGTCAAGAACACAAACCTGGCAAGGGACAAAGACAGGGTTACTATTCCAAGCAAGGCTTTCTTGCTCAGAAGCTACTCTTGATGCTAATTTTTCAGCATCCCTCTTCTACTAGGCACTGTAGACTCAAATCATACACAATTTAGCATAAATAGGGCACTACACACTCTGGATATATAGGTGTGAAACAAGTTCTTCAAGTCCTGGCTCTTATATTTTTGTGGGAAGAGGTGACTAACAAATAGCACAATCTGGGTTTATAAGATGGAAATAAGAGCTTTGAGGAAAGTAAACAATGCTATGAGGTAATAGGGAGACTGGAATTGTGTGTCTGTGGCAGGTCAGGGCCTCATGAGTGAGGATGTCATCACTGATCACTTTTTATTTACACCATCTTGCATCTTAAACACTATTTGAGGAACTGCTTGGGTGCAGATATAAGAAGTGGGGAGCAATACAGACATCCCTGCATTCCTGGGATCAACCATAATGGTTTCCCCATAAAGATGTAGACATAGTTCATCTTCATCTTCGCCACAGTTGAAAGTTTTATTGCATGTAATAGTAATCATGAGTTTGGACATGGATTATCCAAGACTTGAGACTCCCCATTCCCATTACTTTGGGCCATGAGTAGTTTTGGTGTTTATGTTTGTATTTAACATCATTTGAAAAGATTTAAATTGCCTTTTAGGGACTTCCCTGGCAGTCCAGTGGTTAAGACTCTGAGCTTCCAATGCAGGGGATGCAGGTTCGATCCCTGGTCAGGGAACTAAGATCCCACATGACATTGGGCACGGCCAAAAATTGTAAAAAAAATAAACTGCCTTTTATATTTCCATTATAATTTTGCTGCTACACAGAAGGAGTGACACCATGAAGCCTTTCTGGTCCTCCAAGTTTGAGGAAGGGTTCTGGTCATCTGCACACTTGTAGCCAGTCATGGGTTTTCCTGTGAGTGATATCTCTGCAAGTCCAACATGAAACACTAAAAAGAGCTACGGATGTTTAGGGGGCAGTCATCCAAGGAATAAGTGAAGTGAGCTGCAGACAGACGGCTATCCTCTTCAGTAATATCCCAAGTTAGTGGGAAAGGAGGTACGTCTGACATCCTCAAAATGGAAAGTTTTTAATGCCTTTTATAAGAAGAGAACTGGAAGCTTTTTGTTTCAATGGTCCACAGAGTTACAAAGCCCATTTTGCTGTTCATAGGTGTTATTCCCATAGTTTTAGACCTCCAGCACATGTTATGAAAAGGGAGGGAGGGCTTCCCTGGTGGTGCAGTGGTTAAGAATCCACCTGCCAACTCAGGGGACATGGGTTCAAGCCCTGGTCAGGGAAGATCCCACATGCCACAGAGCAACTAAGCCCGTGTGCCACAACTACTGAGCCTGTGCTCTAGAGCCCATGCTCCGCAACAAGAGAAGCCACCACAATGAGAAGCCCGCTCACTGCAACGAAGAGTAACTCCTGCTCACCACAACTAGAGAAAAAGCCCACATGCAGCAACGAAGACCCAATGCAACCAAAAATAAATAAAAATTTAAAAAATAAATTTATTTTTTAAAAAAAGGGAGGGGGACGGATTACCAGCTTTGTGTTTCATTAAAGAGCAAAAGAAGTCTAAACTTCCTCCATGTTTTCAGTACTAACTTATGTCTTCTCTGCATGGTACAGATGTAATTTCATAATTATTTCTCAGTTGCTCTGCCCCTTCCCCAAGTATTCCTCCCATCTTTTTTTTTTTTTTTTTTGGCCACACCTTGCAGCATGTGAGATCTTGGTTCCCCGACCACACATCCAACCTGTGCTGCCTGAAGTGGAAGCACAGAGTCTTTTTTGGCCTCCTGTGTTACAAATGAAAGTCAGACACAGGGAGAACAGGGTCTTACCAAACTCAGAGCTCATAATAATGGAATCTCAGCTTAAAGGCCTAATGTGTGCCACCACCCCTACTAGGCACTGTCAAAATTGTTATGCCCAGGAGAACAGTGCACAATTGTGCACTTTTACAAATGGAATCAAAGTTTACAAACAGGGCTCACATGACGACATGGTGTTCTATTGATATTGCATTCTGGAAAAGGCAGAGGCAAACATATAGGGACCTAAAATAGATCAGTGATTAAAGGTGGACAGAGTTAGTACAAATGGGCACCATAGGGGTGTTCTTTGGGGGTAATAGAGTATTCTCCATCTTTTGGAAGTAGTATTAGTATAAATTTGTGAAAACTTA